CACATGTCTCTTGAGAAACCTGTATAAGGGCCAAGAAGCGACAGTTAGAACCGGATATGGAACAACTGATTGGTTCAGCATAGGAAAAGGAGTACGACAAGGATGTATATTGTCACCGTGCTTATTTAATATATATGCAGAGTACATCATGCGAAATGCTGGCCTGGATGAATCACAAGCGGGAATTAAGATTGCTGGGGAAAAGCTCAACAACCTCAGATATGCAGACGATACCCCTCTAATGGCAGAAAGTGAAGAGGACCTTAAGAGCCTCTTGCTCAGGGTAAAAGAGCAGAGCGCAAAAGTGGGCTTGAAGCTCAACATCAAAAAAACTAGGATCATGGCATCCGGCCCCATCACTCCTTGGCAAATAGAAGGGGAAGTCGCGGAAGTAGTGACAGACTTCACGTTTCTGGGATCCCAGATCATCGCAGACTGTGACTGCAGCCATGAAATTAAAAGACGCCTGCTCCTTGGGAGGAAAGCGATGGCGAACCTAAACAGCATGATAAAAAGTAGAGACATCACCCTGCCAACAAAAGTCCGCACGGTCAAAGCAATGGTATTCCCAGTAGTCATGTATGGCTGCGAGAGGTGGACTATAAGGAAGGCCGAGCGCCGAAGAATAGATTCTTTTGAACTATGGTGCTGGAGAAGACTTTTGAAAGTCCCTTGGACTGCAAGAAGATCAAATCAGTCAATCCTAAAAGAAATCAACCCTGACTGTTCCCTGGAAGGCCAGATAATGAAACTGAAGCTCAAATACTTTGGCCACCAAATGATAAGGGAGCACTCACTGGAGAAGACCCTGATGCTGGGAAAGATTGAAGGTCAAAGAAGATGGGGACGGCAAAGGATGAGATGGTTAGACAGTGTCATTGATGCAACGAACATGAAATTGAGCCAACTTCAGAGGACGGCAGAAGACAGGAGGGCCTGGCGGGAGCTGGTCCATGGGGTCGCGAAGAGTCGGACTCGACTGTCTTCTGCCGTCCCAGATCTGGTAGTCCAGATCTCTGAAGCAAAGCAGCCCCTGGTTAGTACTTGGAGGTGAGATCACCATGGAATTCCAGTTGCAATGCAAAGGCAGGCAATCGCAAACCACCAATACATGTATCTTGCCTTAGAAACCCTATGGGGTCACCGTAAGTCAGTTGTAACTCGATGGCACTAAAAAAAAAAAGAGTATCAGTCCTAATTCTATGCACAGTAGAAGTATACCATCTAGTTCTATACACACTGAAGGTATATAAATACAAGAGAAATAGCCTCATAATCAGAACAAGGAAAAAGGTTCTGAGCTTCTGACCAACTACGAAAGCAAAGGGCTTTTCAGAGATTTTCCTGCAGTTTGGGCACTGACCCACAGCAGTTTCCTCCAAGCTTCCCTCCTGTTCTCATTTTCCATTTATGGTCTTTCCACGGTTTCTTCACTGTTTCTTCGTGCTTTCTCAAATTGGAACAAAGATGGTTTGACCAAGCCCAGAGAAATTATGAGAAAATTATGGACAAACAACAAATGGGAAATGAGGATGTGAGGTAACTTCGGGGGGGACGGACTGCTGCAGGTTGGCACCCAAACTGCCGGAAAATTTCCATGTGAGAAGACCCTTACTCAGCTCCTAAGCTAAATGGACTATCAAGCAAAAGAGCAAAACACAAACGCAACCCTGGAAACAACCTCAGAATTTTAACCACTCCTTTACATGTGCTGATAAAGAGTAAGAAAACTATCTTGTGACCTCTGTGATCCAATGCATGCAGATGGATCAAATGGGTAGCCGTATTAGTATGCCTGTCAGAAGTGAGCAGTCACTCACGAAAGCTCATGCCCTGCCACAAATTTTGTTAGTCTTTAAGGTGCTACTGAACTCTTGCTCTTTTCTAGAATGCGTACATTTAGCTTCACACCAGTGGCCAAGTCCACCTTGAATATCTCAGAAGCCATTTCCCCCCTCATAGGAGTTTCCCAACATGCTTTGCAATTCCGTCCTTATCTCTTGAATCTCCCATTCCTTATGCAAATGAGCTTTCTCCTTAGATGGTCCATGATTCTCATATATCCTGTTAGTGATAAATCAGACAAGATGCTCAGAGTTCTATGAATGGCAATCCCAGTGTTTATTTCCCCTTCTTTTTTAAAAAAATCAGGCACACAGTGGCCTGATTCCAGTTAGGACCACGGCATACAGGTACCTGTATGTTTACCCCAATGGGGCAATGAGTTCTGTGAAGCCATTTCAGGTGGAAGGTGGTGTGAGGGAAGGGCCTCACTGAGAAGAATTGCAACGCATACTGGGAAGTTCCTATGAGGGAAGGAATTTTTTTTGGGATATTCAAGGTGGAGCTCAGCTGACCATTGGTGTGAAGCTAAATGAATGCATCCTATCCCAGAGGTCAAAATATCCCAGCCTTCAGTAAGCATCTAGACTGTAAAAGAGCCAAGATGTAACACAGCCATCAAGATAGAACACAGTCGTCAAGATGATTTTCATACCCTTTGTTAACCTCCAACCAGAGGAAAATCTTTGTGCACACAGGATCATGTAAATGTACATCGACAGGTAACAAACTCAGCAATAACTGATGAACGACATCCGGCCATTTGAACAACCTGTGTCAGCTGAGGCTGCACAAGCTAACACTGTATATACAAGAAAAAGCCAAAGTAAACGTACCTTACTACAGGGTATGAACAGAAATGCCTTAAAAAAAAAAAAAACAGAACACCAAAGGGACAGGCTTTCTCCTGAAAAATACAACCAACCAAAGCTAGGTACAGAACCGAACTTAAAATTTTTTGCTTCCATAAGATTAACAGTTATAAAACATAAATAAGGGGCACCCTGAAGAACTGTGTGTGTGGGGGGGGTAACAATCTGGAAATCCCATCCCTCAAAAGCACCCCCTGCAGGATTGAGCAACCTCTCTCATCCAACGCCTTTTCATCCTTTAGCAGAGGACTGATTTATGTGACCCTAGCAAAGGAAGAAAAAAACCTCTCCGTTGTGCAAGTTTGCACTTGCCCAGAGTCCAATTTAAACTGGACTGCTACCCATACAAACCAGCTATGGGTGCCTCATTCTCATGCCATCCACCCTGGCTATTGGATATTCGGTGCGCTAATTAATCGCTGAGAGGTATCCAGTGGTGCTATCAGACTGTACTTTGGGATGGAGGTCCAGGGCTCGGCAAGGAGGCCTCAAAAGCAGGCTGCAGCTTTGCATCTGGAGTATATGTTACTATATAAAAGTGTGCTCCCATAAAACCGCTCAATCCGGAGTCTAAACCTACTACACCACACTGCTGGAAGCGGCTTTGTATGGGTTGCAGCACACTTAAATCAAGCATTGGTGCCAGTGCAAAGTTTAAATCAAGCCTGACACATAACTTTTCTCAACATTCCATCCCTTCTGGAGCATATTTAGCACCAGAGGTGCTTTTAGAGCCAATATTTGGAGTGGGAGCCCAGCTCATGGTACATATTTAGTCCTCATCAGGCCAGCCATTTTCCAGGGTTTCTTTTTTCCCTTTTCATTGATTTACAAAATTACATTTTTGTGCATAACTAAGGAGTCGCCTGAACAGACCCCTGTGGGTGGCTGGATTTTGTGGCTATCATTATCCACAGAAGGGTCAACCACCATTTTAATGTTAGATATAGTAGCCATTTATACTGAAGACACCTTTCAGAAGCAGATTCTAATCTTCACAAAAATGCCACAACCTAGTACTGTGGAAGGCAGTCAAATCAAATGCAGATAACTTTTGCCAGACAGAACCTCTGTAGATAGGTGACTTGGCAATTTTTTTTTCAGAACAAGCTTCTAGACGATATTTTCAAGAGTGAGGTGTACTCAAGTTAAAATATTCTCAGAACTACTTATGAGGGCTGTTTACGAGGCACAGAAAGTGGAGGAAATTATGTTTAAAAATATTTTAAATCAAATATACATCTAGCCAACTTAGATTTCCCACTCAGGTTTCAGACACAAGAAACAGTCTTTGGGGAGAACAAACAGTATTTTGGGGGGAAATGCCACTATTCATTTGCAATTGATGGTCTTATGTTGTAAGCCGCCCTGAGCCCGGTTGTGGGGTAGAGTGGGGTATTAATTAATTAAGTAAAAATCATAACTGGACTTTGTGATATATTTTTGTGTAACTCATGAAATGCACATGCCCCTATCCTACACAAGTCAAAGAAAGATGGGCTTTGGTGTACATGCAGGAGTATAGTCATTTGACACACCCAGCACATACGAACTCAAAGCAGTGGGCATCAGGGTTGCCAGATCCAGATTGGGAAACTCCTGGAGATTTGGGGATCCAGCCTGGGGAGGACAGGAACCTCAGTGGGGTACCATGCCACAGAGTTCACCCTCCAAAGCAGATATTTTCTCCAGGGGAACTCAGCTCTGTAGTCTGGAGTTGAGCTGTAATTCCAGGAGATCCCCAGGTCCCACCCGAAGGCTGGCACCCCTATATGACCCCCCCTGCAAAAAAGGGGAATTGGGAAGTGTTCATGCTGTATGAGCACCTGTAGACCATTCTCCAGTTTGTACTATGACATTTTACAGACTGAGCAACTCATCACCATAATTTTATAGAATACTACCAATTCATTCAAACCTAGAATAGTAATAATTTAAAAAAACCAAACAGGCCCGGTTCCCTAAAGACACAGGACAAACCTATTTGCATTCAAAAATGGACACTGCGTCCCCGGCCATTACAACGCCCGCCGTTGCAAAGTGGAAGCAAATGACAACTGTACCCTCCCCCCCCCCCCCCTAGGAAGTAGGGAACAGCTTTTGGTCAGACATACGACGTGTCAACGTAGCAACGACTCCTGCGCTTCCCAGAGTCTGTCAGAAACATACATGACAGCAGGTGTTTAAATAAGGGGAGTGGACTGCTGCTCTGTCTGCCTCCTCGGGACACCACAGCAGCATAAGCAGGAAGCGCCGTTTCCCCGCCACTTGGCTCCTAGCACTCACCAGTTCCCTGAGCCCACGATGCAGACTTTCAAGGGCGATGAAGCAAGAGCCATTGCAACTCCGCGCCGAGAGACCACTCCGGGAGACAGGGCGCAGCTCGGGCAGGAGCGCTCCGCAACCTTCCTATGGCCGCTGCGAGCAACCCTCGGCCAGCCATGCAGAACTGCCACAGGCCACACAACCCCTCCTCTGAAAACGGCCATGGACCGCCCCTCACTCGCCCGGGGCTTGCTGGGAATTGTAGTCCTCCTTTTATTTACCAGGGATTTGAGGCCGCCTGAAGCTTACCAAAGCAACTTTTTTCGCATGTGCAGAGTCTAGGCAAAGAAGTGTCTTGGCTTTGCCGCACGCTTTTATGGTTCCGAAAGGGTCAGAGCATGAAAATGCTGCTGGAAGGAGCCTGAGATTAAATGCTCTTGTTCAAGGCATGCATAAATTTTCGTAAACTGGAGAGTGGATAAGACACAGTCACACTGTTAATGAACAGGAATTCAGGGACAGGATAGCGATTCAGCGGCGCAACGGGCTGCGAGGAAACTTGAAGACTCGTCGCAAGACCCGCCAAAGTGACGTTTGCTTGATGCACAAGGGATATTTGAGAAACTTGGCCCGCTTCCCCTAGAGCAGTGGTGGCGAACCTATGGCACGGGTGCCAGAGGTGGCACCCCGAGCCCTCAGAGCCCTCTCTGCGGGCACTCGTGCCATTGCCCCAGCCAGGCCCAGACCATCATTAAAGTGTCGAATTCTCTGCCAAATAATTTTAAGTAAATGAAAGCATTTGGGATTGCTTTCCTTACTACGTTTGGATCATCTTAAGTTAATGTATGAGTTGTTTTTTCTAAAGTAAAACCTCAGTATTCAGGTTAAATTGCCGTGTTGGCACTTTGCGATAAATAAGTGGGTTTTGGGTCGCAGTTTGGGCACTCGGTCTCTAAAAGGTTCGCCATCACTGCCCTAGAGGATTTGTTCAAAATGCCTTAAACTAATTGGTCTGTTTAACCTGATTGAATATGATTCCATTCCTGCGGTTGGAAGCCATTCAGAAATGACATTTCACGCCAGTTGAACAAATCACAAGGTTTCGAATTTCACCTTTTTTTGAATACATAGAAGTGCGATTTGGGGTTAGGGGGCTATCAGCCAGTCAATTGATCAAACCATTTCCCTAATATAATCCAGAAGCAGAGCCCACGATGCACCTATGGCGGTAGAAGCTGGGTCCTTTCTCAGTGCCTGGGCTTTCTGGTCCTCCCCAAGGACAGGGAATAGAATTTGTCTCTGGCCAGCCAATCGCTTTACTGTCTTCTCAATGTGAACGGAATACTGGAAGTGTTAAATGGAAAAAAAGACCATCACCCATTTTACACGGTCCCCAAGGATCCTTGCACAATGTAAGCCCTGTCTTCATGCTCATCCTATGTATCATGTCAGTGTGGTATAATGGGTACAGTGTCGGACTACAATTGGCAAAGGCCAGGTTCAAAGCCCCACTTTGCCATGAAGTTCATGGGCAGTGCAATCCTAAACAGAGTTACACCTTCTAAGCCCACTGACTTAACTCTGTTTAGGATTGCGTTGCAAATGGCCTTGGAATCAGCCCTTAATCTCTGAACCTAACCTACTTTACAGAACACAAAAGCCTGAACTCCTTGGTGCTCTGAACTCCTTGGAGAAAGGGCAGGATACAGATGTACCAGATAAATAAACTACATCGATTTGGACAAATAACACTTTGATCATTAGGAAACTTTGTTATATGAGCACTGAGAATGTGTTGAAGCTGAAGTCAGTGTCGGAGCTTATGAGCATATGTTTGTAACTGACACAGATTTTTTTCAGCATGCCATAATCAGAGACACAATACCTTTCAGATCAGAAGTACAATATCTTTCGGAGAAAAATATGCTGTTGGCACACTTTTAGAAAACACATAAAAGTACATGAATGATGTGGCCCATGGATCATTGAAGGCTTAATGGAGCATGTCCACAGATGAGCAAGAAGTTTCTCTTGTTAAAGAAAGGCAATGTACACTTAGAATACAGTGCCGTGATTCAGACTGGATTTTTAAATAATTCAACTTTGAAGCCATACATGTGCATACTGATCTTTTAAATTTCTGCACTGGAAAAAAAAATCTTTTGACTGCTTGCTACTTAGTCTATATTCCTACTAACCAGAGAACTGGAACTTGAGACATGAAGATGTCATGAGCTTTCCCCCAAAAGTTACACAATACAGCAGTGTGAAACAACACCATTGTGGTTCTCTTATACCACCAGAAGCTATTATCTTGTCCACAAAATTGTCATGAGACGGAAAAAATGTGCAGAGAGGGGAAACAGGGATGTGATTAGGGTTGGCCTTGGGAACAATCCCTTTTTTTGTCATCAGTACTTTTTGGTTCTCCAGGGAGCCAGTGAAATTGGCAGGATTCTATGTACTTGCCTGAGCAGCCTTTTGTAATAGGTAAATTTGTCTCCTGCAAGATGCCTCTTTAGCTACAAACAAACTATTCCACATCATCATACACACCAGCATGGTGTACAGTTTAAAATGTTAGATGAGGATCTGGGGAGACCCAGGTCTGAATCACCATTCTTCCACAGAAACTTACTAGGTGACCTTGTGCCAGTCACACACTCAGTCTGACCTACCTCATAGGACTGTTGTTATTGTGGATAAAGTGGAGGAGGGGTGAGCAATGTCGTAAGCCGTATTGCATCCCCATTGGGGAGAAAGGTGGAGTATAAATGAAATACATTAAAAAAATAAATACTTGCATCTGGATCGAAGCATCTGGAGCACATAACAGGGAAGTTAAAATGATAAAGAAGTGAGTTACAGTACAACATATGCTCAATTAATTCCTCATGCCTCCAGATGTAGGGAAGGACAGACCCTTATATTGTGGGGATGCACAGAGACACATTGTACCCCATTGTGGCATCTTGATCAAGGAAGATTGGCAGTGCAGTCCTAAACAGAGTTACACCCTTCTGAGACATGGACTTTGCTTGCACTGGATTGCCATGGATACAGGATGCAGGAGCTGTATGCCCCCCCCCCAACATGGCAAATAGTTCTGCAGGGCCATTTTAATTGGGAAAATGGCCCAGTGGAGAACTCTCATACAGGGAACTGTCAGAGCCTCTTCTCGTGGTGCCCTCAGTGTCAAAAGTGGAGGATAAGTTTTGTTCCCATTGCTATCACCATCCTCAGTGGTTTATTTTTTGCTTTGGGGTTGAGTTCCAGCTATTATAAGTTAAAGTAAAGTGCTACAGGGAGGCTTAACCTGTATTATACCTACCTGTGATGAGCCCAGGTTTTTTTCATGGTAGTGCATTTTCAGAGCCACCCTAAAGCCCAATGGACTTCAGTGTTTGTCCCTCTTCTAAACATCTTGTTGACTGCAGCTTGTCTCATTAAACAATGAGAACCACTGAGAACTGGTGAACAGTTTCTAGTCGACCCTTATTTACCTGGTGTAGAAGAGGACAATCAATTGTCCCTGTCTGAATTTGTCCCTGTTTGAATTTTATCAATATCAATGAGCTCCCAAGTCTGCCGTGTGCTCAGGACCGCCGCTTTGGTTTTCATAATTCAGAAGACATAAAGAGCTTGATAAAAGGGCAGTGAAGAAGATGGGATACAAATATACGCTTAACCTCTTCAAAATTCATTGCAAGCAATTTAATCGCTAGCATTCTCCAGCATATTAAATTATATTTAGGTTGATAACTGGCACTGTAGTAATTAACACAGCAAATGACATTAAATGAGCACATATAATCTTTTAACAGCTCTAATTCCTCCGGGATTTTATTCTAAATTCGGTTAAATAACCCAGCGCACTTCACCTTTTCTTTCAGAATGGAAAAGGTAAACTATTGTAAGTCCCACATCAAGATGTAGCAGATGTTCAGGAAATAGCAAGCAGGCATTAGAACATCATTTGTTTACATTAGCAAATCTAACTTGACATTTAAATGAATGACAAATAGAATGGATAGAACCCATCTTTCTCCCAGGAGTTTCTGCTTAGCCGTAACCCTCATACTCACAAAGCAACTCTGCTCAACAAACAAGGGAGAAATTATGCTCTTACAACCCAGTCTATTTTCCCTTTCTTAGAACCCTATAGACAATTCAACCGCACCTCTCTCTTAAAAGAGATTGTTAAGGAATTTTAACATGCATTATAATTATGAGCCTATGTTGGTTTGCCACATTTTAGAAATGTTGTGTTCCTGCCAGAGTGCCCCCACAGTGGATCTGTTCTTTTGACCTCTGTTCCTTTAGCAATATTATCTTAGTCAAGGGCTAGTGCCACATTATCTCTCCGAGGGAAGAGTTTCATGGTTTGTTTTTCTTTTTGGAAGGTAGGATGTATTCTGAAGAGACCAGAGGTTAGAGAGAGAGAATTATGTTTGGGAACAGAACTGATGAACTCTCTTCAAAATTTTAGACCATGACCTTTTACCTACTTTATCCTATAAATGAAGGGCACAGTATCTTGTTCAGGGTGCTTGCATGATCTACTCTTATGGGGCGGGGCGGGCCTTAGCTGGAGAACCCGTTTGGTAGAACTTCCTCAAAGATTTGTTAGTAGTCAAATAAAAAAAAAACCCTTCAATCTCTTATCCCTTTAATCGCTGGCATTTGCCTTACAATCTCTCCAGAATCAAAAACATCTTCACTCCCTCACGCCTGGCAAGAAGCTTTACAGTCTTATCTTCCTAGGAATGTTAAAACTGGAATGTTAAGACTGGAATGTTAACACATCTCTAAGACTGGAGACTGCTTTTGTATGGGGAAAAAGGCTCTCAATATCATTTGAGACAAATTTTGTTTTTATGACTTGTTTCACATAAATCATATAGGAATAAAAGTATTCATGCACTGTCAAAGTGTACAGCATTACAATACTTGAAAAATGATACTTCTTAGCTTTATTAGTCTTTACAAATATATATATTTGTAAGAATATAGTGATTTAGAGGGATTTGTTAATCAGTAGACTTCCGACTATGTAAATGATTTTGTTAAATGGACAGAGAGGTGTTATTTTTACTATTTGATATTTGTACTTAGTAAATTGGTATATTAAAAAGAAGATTTGTTTAATTAGTTATTTTTCTACGGTTATTCTT